TTAAGACTAATATTTTTAGAAAACTGACTACAACCTGTTGTTCATTACTTGGGCCTTTCAAGATTCCTTGCACTGTAAACTGAAAGTCTTTAGGGCTTTAATTAGATGAGTGTACACACACTGTCAAGATGTCCATGATAGGATGTAATAATTCAAGTACAGTAAACATGTCCAAAATGGAACCTGAATAAAATGGAAACCTGCTTAAATTGGAAAAGTTTTTTGGAATGAAGTGGTTTTCTATTTTTAAGAAAACTCGTTTAAAACAAAAATTTGCCAAACCAGAAAAAATATTTGGTATCATGCAATTCTAGTTTATGCCGTTTTTATGTACATTGAATCTCTTTTACAATGTTTTGGACTTAAACTTAGCATTACTCAGGTCCTTGTGGATAAGTTTTTGTTGAAAGTGAACAAAAACATGAATGATTTCATAAAATCGAAACATATGGTTGTTGAATTTGCAGGACTCCTTCATCACATTTAAGAAGATTGGTAGATCTACCAGATGAAAGATCCTGTACCAAAAGGAATCCAATGATCTACAAGCATTTACATAATGATTAGATACAATCATCTTGTTGGAATATACAAATAAATAGCAGTTTGTTTGTTTGTTAAGTTATGGCAATGCAACACTTTGGCAATCTGCCTAGGGGGATGCCTTCTGGGAGGTCTTTTTAAGGGAAACTGGCCCCTATTTAGGCATTACAGACATAGAGAAAACCCAGAAAACTCCACATGGCCAGCCCATCTGAACAAGGTGCAAACCCACGACCGAACTCCCAGTGTTCAGGGTACGAAGACCACTTGGCCACTGGTGGGCACAATAAATAGCCAGTGCCAACAACATGATGATTGCATTTAGAAAGAATGCATTTATATAATCTCATAAACACAAAAGACCCCACACCCCTTGAAGTGGGTTCCTGTTTGCAGTGAGGGGACCTCCCAGAGATAGTTTAGTAACTCTTTTTTACCATCTCTGGGATCTGAATGTTCACCCCTATGTTTGCCATGCGTGGTGAACTATATGCTGGAAAGGGAGATCCTGGTAGTTGAGAAGCAACATAATGTTCCCAACACACTGTTTTGAATAAATAGGAGGCTCAAATCAGGCTCCATTTGAGTCAATTGGCTGGTTGTTGATTCAACTTTGGCTCAGATTCAACTGATTGATGCAGACTGGACAGACATGTCTATTCTTGACAGTCTTGTCATATCAGATAAGATATGCTCTTCTTGATTGCATTGTGAGGGTATAGCTCCTGGGAAACTGGTGTGATAGTCTATGGGAGTCTCCCATGTGATGGTATCTCCTCATTGGGACCCATGGTGGGTGGGGTCACTAGGAGCTGAATAATTATTTCTTAATCATGGATTCAAAAAACATAAAAGTCCAGACAAGTCAACAACAACAAAAAATTTCCAGTCAGCTAGCCTACTTAGTAGTGCACGCAACTGGAGAAAAACCTCTATCTAACAGTCTACTTAATAGCCTTATTAATAGCCTTATTTAAATAGTAGAATAGCCTTAATTAAATCTAACTATCTACTTAATAGTCATTCTAATTGGCTCTTATATTATGCATGTTAAGATGCAAGGCGCACCAATTTTTCGCATTTACAAAAAAAGGTTTCTTAATTTCAATGATCTTAATTAATACCCATTCCAATCGGTGTTTATTTATTTTTAAAATGCATGCGCACCAAATTTTAAATGTTTTTAATTCTAAGATTTAAATTTTATTTGTAATAGTTAGGTTCCAAAAACGGCTAATATCGTTAATGCTTAAATTTAAATGCTCTGTTCGAATTTTCTATTTTATTTTGAATTGCGTGAAGACGACGTACATAATTACGTTGAAAGCGATTGCAAGATTAAAATATTTCTTTTAATTCTATATAACGCCTCATAGTCTGAAGTTTTTGATTGAACCTCTATCTAAGGCTTCTCCTTTCCTGATTCAAAAATTATTTGAAATTGACCACTGGACATCTGAAAAAAATACAGAAATTGAGGTCAGGGTACCTGCTTATAGAAACAGCCTCCTCTCAGCAATCAACAAAGCTTTAGGCAATGAAGATTTTGGGAGACATGGGAATTACAGTAACACCACATGGAAGTTTAAACTCATCACGTGGTGTGATATCTGAGCTAGATCTGATGTCTGAAGATGAATCAGATATTCAAAATTGGACTATTGGATCAAGGTGTCACTGCAGTTTGATGCATCTCTATTCATTGAGATGGCAAATTGATACCAACTAAGCATCTAATTTTGACTTTCAATAAACCAACAATACTATCTTCTGTTGCAGTAGGATATCTCTGCTGTTGCAATTTGCCGGTACATTCCAAATCTACTGCATTGCTTCAAATACCAGTGGTTTGGACATTCACAAGCATCTAGCAGAGTGAAAAGTATATGTACACAGTGTGGAATTAAAAAAACCATTTTGTGAGGGCTTTGAGGGTCACGAGAGTACTGAGTATACAGGTAGTTCATGCTGTGTGAATTGCGAAGACACCTAACAAAAGAGAGATATTCAATGGGTGAAAACTGTTTGATTGTCCTCTTGTTTGCCTCTGTAGATTTCCAACCTTTCTAGATGTTAAGGTGGATCTTATGATCACTTGGATGTAGGAGATAGGCTTCCAGAAGTAAGATATGAATGTCATTTTCAGAAGAAAATGTTTTATATCATTGTTGTGTTCCTTTTAAGGCATGGATTTAACAAATGAGCAGTTACTCCAATATATTCTTAATTTTGGAAAAATCTGCTATCTATTGCAGGAATTGAGCACATCGTTTATCTGTGGGGTGATGTGGTTTGGTTTGTTGGAGTTTATTGGTGCAAGAGCCATACAAGCTATATACTGCCATGACACATGGTATAGTTTGTACATGAAATAAGTAAATGAATAAATAAATATTTGTACAAAATGTAATGATTTAACTATCAGAACAACAGTGACAAAATATTCCAGGAACTATACTACAATAAATAAATAAATAAATGAGTGATCAAATCTCTTTGTAACACTTAACAACTTTCAGAAACTTCAGTAGCTTGTCAAGATTTGGCTTTAAACAATAATGTTGAGTTTAGGATTGTGGAGTTTCCTATTTGATTGGCCACATAAATGAGGATAAATTTCACTTTAGGGTACTCTTACCATNATTACATTGGGTTATATTAAAGCTACTAATTAAATGTCAAGTAATTTGACCTGGCTTGAGGTAAGTGTTAGGCATCATCTCTTGATAAATTTAATAATTTATTTAGAATGTTCTGGAAGAAAATTAATTTAATTATAATTATTAAATTTATCAAGAGATGATGCCTAACACCTACCTTCAGGTCAAATTACTTCATATTTGATTAGCAGTTACTAGCATTAATACAGCCTGATGTAATCTGGCTTTTTTATTGTTTGGCTTTAATATTAATTTACTTCTGAAATAAAAAAGAAATAAAAGACAGAGAGAGAGATATTATTGGTGTTGACAGTTTCATATGATAGCATCAAGAGTATTTGAATTTAAAATTGTTTTTCTAGAGCAAAATTGCTCTATGTTTAAAAATTATAAAGCTTGAGTTTAGAAACATTTACATTTATATTTATCTAATTTGGCAAGAAATAAATATAATTTGTTGTATGTAATAGATTAAAACATTTATTATGTGTAATCATATTTATGATTATAAAAATTATAGTGCCACTTTCTAATAACTAAAAATAATGGATCATTGAGCATTATTTAGTCAGGAAACTTTTTGTAACTTTCGTGACATTTTCTTAAGTATCTACTATTATTGTGCAAGTCATGCATTTTAAAAAATATCATTGCATATAAGTTGATATCCACTTATATCTTCCTATGTATTTTTAGTGATATCCTTAAATTCTAGAGATGTTTGTTAACATTATGTGACATTAGATAGTATTGATTTTGGAGTTTACTCTGTTGTCAGTATAGTGAATATACTATAGTTATATGCAAATATTTTTTTATCCTGACAAATTTTCAGAAATAATATGAAAATATTATAATATAGAGGCTGTTCTTGGCTTTTGGACAGATTACTCTTTGATATTCTTAAATTAATTTTGATAAGCAAGATTTGCATTTTCAGCCAATAAAAGTCTTACATTGCAAACTGGCTTTCTGTCAGTTTTGCTTTGATGACAGCAAAATTATTTGTGAAAATTTAACTTTTATTTTTGTTTTCTGTTTAATCCATGGTTTTAATGTTTTAAATAATGTTTTATGCATTGTAACATTAACTACAGAAAAGTAAAACTTTTTTATTTTAATAAGAGAATTTTATAATTTTTTTTTACCTGTCTGAGATTAGAACTTTTTCATTATAAGCAACTCTCTATTGTCCAACTTTCATATATAATTTTAGCAATGCATTATATTCAAAAATTAGGGACTGCCTGTTCTTCTCAAGCTTTATGAGCTTTGTAAACTTTTTGTTGCATGGCACTGAGACAACATCTTTACTATCCAGTTTTCTTCTTCACTCATTTTATCATTATCTACCTGAGGCATTTTCCTAGGGCTTTTCCCTGAAATTGTTCATGTCAACTCTATTATTGGGTATTCTATCATGTTTCATCTCCAAACAAGTCCAGCTCATTTGAACTGGTTCACTTTCATAACATTTTTGATTAGGGACTTATTTTATAGGTTTTAAAATGTGGCTCAGAAGTCATATCTCATTGGAAATAAACCTAAGTCTAGGATATAAAATAGTGCAGTTTTGCATGTTTACTTTAGTCACTTTAGTTTATTATGCAATGTTACCAATTATTTATGATTGTTGAGTTTTATTGTATTAATGGTTTTTGTTTCCTTATATTTTGCAAATAGTATTTTTTAATATTTTTTGTGGCATTATATCTTTGAATACTGTTAATTTTATTAATGTTTAAAATTTTAAGTAAAAAAAAGCAACCTTTAATTGAGCAGATTTTGGCTTTTCAGCTGTACAGTCTGAGAGGAAACCATTAGATTCAGTACGAGATAAGACAATTACACAATCTGCATCAAGTAGTTCTCAAAGAATATATATTCGAAGAGATATTCGTTCTCCTTTGGCAGCTTTATCAACATTTAGTGCTGAAAAGGTAAGTGAAATATTTAACTAATTAAAAATTTTTTTCATGTATTGATAAATTATAAATGAATAACGAATAAGAAATTGGTGATTTATCTTTATGTTTAATATTTACATGTTTTCTTTTTAATTCCAATTTCCATTTTTTAAAATAGAAATTGGAATTGAAATTTTTGAGACAAAATCATTTTTTATGTATGTGACCATAGGGTCGTCACCTCTTTAGTGCCTCATTAGAACTGACAGCACTGTGTTTTCAGGATAGACATAGAAACCTTAATGGCCACAACTTCGGAATTTGTGCGAGTGGTCATGTGTGCAGGCGACCAGATTTGGGATGGAGGGGAGTTGAGAGACAGCTGATTGGATGTGAATCACTAAAATAACCAATTTAATTCAACTAAAATAAATACATCTTCCTATATCGAATAATGGTCAAGAGAGAGAGTTTACAATAAACCGCAAGTTGGTATAGATATCTTTGATGCACTTATAATTATGTGGACTTCCTGATGGATGAACTTTGGTTGGTTGTTTGGTTGGGAATCTAGGAGTGGTTGGGGAGGCATTAAAATTTCCTCTTTCTTTGATGGCAGTTGAACCGATGGAGAGCCAGAGGATATAATAATCTGTATCAGTAGGAAGTTCGAAGGTGTTCCTAAGGGAACACAGGGTATGAAATTCTTGGTAGCCTGGGCAACGATGATTCCTCTCCTTTCCAGGGCACTAGATTGATGTGCTCATGAACACTCTCAACGACCCCTTGTCCTTGAGTCACTCCTTTTATACCTCCAAGTCACATTATCATTTTTCACCAATCGTGAATTTTTGCTATTAGTTTCCAGTGACACATTCAATGAGTTTCTTGGGAAGGGAAATGACTCTGGGGGAAGAGATGCGATCATCCTCCAGTAATAAATTTTCGAAAGACAAAAAATGAATTTTCTCTCCCAAATTTTGTCAAGTCCAACTCTCACATGTAATTAGGAATTATATGTATTTATAAACTGCAAATATAATAAAGTTGTCTAGAGACATTTTAAGTTTGAATTTTGAGATAGCTTAATAAAGACATTATATAATTTTCGAACATTTTGGAAATTTCCCTGTAAAATTGCAATAGTTTTAATATAAATCAAACTCCATCTTGGTGAGAACTGGCCACCTCACTTAAGTAATCAAGATAGGAATGTCCTAAAGTGATATTTATCCTCATTCATGTAGCCAACAGAATAGGAAAACCAATGTTTAAAAACTCAAAGTGTTGTTTAAAGCATTTTTAATGGAATTGAGCTTTGTCGCTATAGTTTTGCAACAGTTTACAAAAAAGTTTCCTTCCACAGATTATATTCAAATAAAATAATCTTTATATGCATTGGACAAATTATATCATTTATTTCCAGAGTTTAATTTGTCTAATGCAGTGGTTCCCAATTAGTTTATCCTGCGTACCACTTCAAGAAAGAGCTCAAACTCGTGTACCCCTTATAGCAGAAATTCATATTAATCCATAGTAATATTATAAATTCGAAGGTAATTCTGTCTGTCTGTCACCTTTTCACGTCTAAACCGCTGAACAGGTTTTAATAAAATTTGGCACAGAGATAGCTTACATGTTGGAGATGGAAATAGGCTGCATCTTACTGCGAGAAAATATCTTACTCCCACGAGAAAATTCTATATAATGCGAACGAAGTCATTTTCGAGTTGAAGTCGGTGACGATGATTAGTTTTCATGTTTGTCATGGCCAAAAATCCGCTCTCGCAGAGGTATGTTGTGCAAAATGGTAGTAAATATTTTATTGCCGCTTCGCTAACATGATGATAATGTGAGATCAGCCTGGACGTAAAGTAGGTTACGCCACTTACTGGCACTAGTCGGTAAGACCAGTTCTCTATGATCCAGATCACTAGATCTGATCTCAAAAAGTTTCATAGGAGAGCGATAACCGCTAGTAGATCTGAACTGTGAAGTTCAATGCTTGTCAGGGCTGACACCTTGTCAATTTATTGATTTATTAAACTGTCAATTTATTGAAAAAATTGACAGTTTGTCAATTTATTGATCCGCGGACAAACACGCGTGTGAGATTCGATTCAGAATCAAATTAAGAGACATTTTAATTAAAAACGAAAAAATAAATTTAATAAAACAAAGAAAATAAACTCATACAAAAATATTAACGAATGAGAGATAGAACTACTACAAATAATATACAAATCGAGAGATATCTATACTTATATTATACCCAATGCGCGATCGAGAGAGAGAGCTCACAAAATCATTAGAAACATACAACCTGTTTTAGTTGTCGTTCGTCGTCTTCTCTGTAGGCAAGGGACACTTTGGGGATAAAGTTCATTTACTTCTTTCCATTGGAGATCAATATGTGCACAAATCAAAGTATATTTTCTAAGTGCTAACTCTGGAATTATTCTATGTGACTCGTCTATGGGCGTTGGTCATCAGGAGGGAAACATGTGTGGAGTTTGGACACTTCCAGATCTGTCGCTGAACTCCTTGAACTCTGACAAATTTCCTCTATATGTCACGGTCGGCGACCAATCATCATGCAAGATTCCTCCGTGAGAACGGATGGAAAGGGTGTAAACATTTCCCATCAAAACGAGAGTTTTCGCAGATAAGGGAAAAACAGAGGATGCACTAACTTCTGTGAAAGGAAGTAACATCTGTTATCTATTTTTCCCACTCTAAAACGTCATTTTTCTCACTCAAACGAAGTAATATTTTATAACAAAATATTAACATTATTAATAAAATTACTGTTCAGACTCAGGGGCCTTTCAGGTCTCACAATAATGATAATTGTACAATTAACACAAATTGGGTTAATTGTACAATTTTTGTTTCTTGCATAAGAATTTCATTTAGGTATTATCACAAATGCATGTTTTTGATGAAATTTCGAGAATATTTTTAGTTATAAATAAACGAATTTGCGCATTCGACATCATAATTTTTGATGGTCCACCCATTATTTTTTTGATTGCTTCATCTCATGCATTTAAATTTTAAATCGACCGATTTTAGATTGCCGCGCCTACCCCTTCATGCAATTTCGCGTACCCCCAGGGGTACGCGTACCACTAATTGGGAATCATTGGTCTAATGCAAATAAAAGATTATTTTATTTGAATAGCATCTGTGGGAAAAATGCTACAAAATTATGACAACAAAGTTCAGTCCCATTGAATTGAAAGTGCTTTAAATTTAATATATATATGTTGTGGATGCAAGTGTTGGCGAGTGCACCTTTCCATCCACAACAGAGAAGTGTGAGATCTACAGATCTAGCTTAACGGATAAATGTTTAAACTATAAGGATGCAACCATTTTACCGTCGGCATGGAAATACATAATCAGAAAGAACTCGTAAGATGATACATCCACCAGGCTCAATAAAAACCCAAGTTACTATATAAAAAATGTTTACATATTGTATTGTGGGAAATTACTGTATTTTGTATTCCTTTTTATATTATTTTGTTTTTCATTATTTATTGTATTAATTTCGTTATCCTTGTTTATGTAATTTAATTTCAACATATATTCTAATATAATTTAAATTTGAACGCGTTCGAAAATGCCATTGATTCGAACGTCTTTAACCTGATGATGGCCCATGACATGGGTTGAAAATGTTTGTTTAGCTGAATAAATATGCGTTCTCAGTATTAAGGTGTGTTGATTTTATTATATATTGACTTCTTGGATTTATTTATTTTAATTTTTACCTTGTATTTTTTTATTTTCTAAATATCTAAAAGGCAGTTAGTTGTTAAAACCAAAATATGTTGTCCAAAACTTCTTTACCAACTGTTTATCCAAGATAAAACTATTTTAAAAATTCAGTAATGAGTTGCTTAACTTTCCTGGCAACATTTAGGGGTGCCATCTGTTATCATATTAATTAAAAAAGTTTTTTATATTTTTAACTATTATAAAATGGCAGAGCTAAATTTTGAGGATAGGGATATGTTTTATAAAGCATTGCAAATGCTAATAACCAATAAAATTGTCATTTAAGTTTAACCCTACTGAAGATATACACAATCTTCAATCTTCCCCCTTGATCTTTAATCACCAAAATTTAATAAAATCAATCCCCTAGTAAACAAACCTCCCTGCAAAATTTCATAAATTTTTGACAAAAAGCACAGGAGTTATTAAGCTACAAACCTCTTTGTAGCTTAAACAAAATCATGCTCTCCCCTCACACACACATGCACACGCACAACACACATCCATACATACAGAAATTGCCCCAAATTTTTTTTGTATTTTGACATTTCAAAGTCCCAAGTCCAAAAATGAAAAAATCTGGGGGGGTAATTTTTTGACCAGTCACCATACTTTTTCTCTGTTATGATGTACAGGGGTAAGACACTACTAATTTGAGGTGGAGAACATATATTTTAAATTAAATAAATTAAAAATACCATTAAAAATTGTAGCTTGGCATTGTGACAATGTCACAATAAAGTAATTGCTTGTTAAAGTTTCTTTGCTTTTGTTTAAGGGTTGTGTAAGAATTTTAAAAAGAAAGAAGTAAACAGATGGCTAATTCTATACAATGGCTTTTCACATTGTAGTATTGTTATCATTGTTGAAATGTTATACTTATTTTCTTATTGTAGGTACTAAATAAAATTTTATTACAAGAAATTTGTGTGTATATATATTTGCTTATCTATTTATAAACATAATGATTTAGTTTTAACATTATGAATTAGTTCAAGTGAAACCCTTATATAAAAGGGAGATTTTATATATGTCCACATTAAATTGTGTATGTTAAAGTGTATATATTTTTGTTATTTATTAAATATAAATAAATAAATATACATGTACATAAATGCTATTTTTGTAGGATGGGAGGACAGGAAGCATATTAGATTCTGCACTTACATCTAATTGTTCAGTACAAAATCATGTGAGCAGTGGGAATGCTGGTAAATAATTTTTATTTTAATAGATCTTAAACTCAGGTTTTGAAATAAATATAAAATTGATCTTAATCCATTTTTGAAACATAAATTAATTTTTTTAGATCTAACTACATTAGCAAGTGTTGTGACAACTTTAGTAGCATTAAAACAAGAACCAACTGATCAAAATATGCCTAGTTTATCAATAAATGGAGATAATTCACCTTCACATATGTTGAAAGACAAAAGTGTTATTTCTAAAGCATTTGATACAATTGCTAAAGTGGCTATGCATCAGGGTGGTCAATTAGTTGAAAATGTAAGTCTGAATAAATTTTTAAATTATATTTTTCTTGTCAAACTTGAAAATATAAATACAACCATACAGCTGTATACAGTTACTCAAATCTAATACATTTCTGAAAATGATTTGAATATTGGGAATTAATATATCAGAATATGTTTTCCATTGTTTCCTGTAGGAAAACTTGTAACTCATTATTGGTTCATCTGAATTATTACTCCAACCATACTTTGCAAATGACACTTTTTTTTTAACTTTTAACTTGGTTGAATCTTTCGAAAAAAAGCCCTCTTAGAGTCATATAGACTCTAAGAGGGCTTTTTTTTTTTTTTTGAAAGATTCAGCCAAGGCCTGTAATGGGGCAGCTAGGTGGTGAGGGATGGGATCTGACCTACCTAGATGCACTACCCCTAATAAATTCCTGGAGTTTTTTTGACCCATCTGGATTTGATCCAAGATCTCCACAGTCATTTTAACCATTTCCTAAAACACTGTAAAATAATTATTTTTGTGTCTAATCTATCAATCCAAGATTAGCATTATAAACTTAAATTATCTTACTGATAAATGCTTAATGTTAACACTGTAAGTCAACAAATAAATTTGTATACATCCACAGTTACAAATTATATATAAACTGTATTTTCTTTAATATGCAATAGGCAACAATGAAAATGTTATAATATACTATACATTTTGTATTAAAATGTTGTATAAAAATCAGAATAACAATGAAAATAAACAAATAAGGTAGTAAACCTACTATAATGAACTATTAAAATGACATTGCCAAATGATCTGCCAGATTTTATGAGGCTATATTTTAAAGCTATATAATACTTGTTTGGCAATGTTAAAGTATCGGGCTGTTATAATTTATATTAAGAATACCTTTTAAGATTGCACTGAAATCTTCTAATAAAAGTCATTAAACTGTACAAATGTGATAGAATGAAAGCACAATACTATTGAAATGACCAACTGTTGTATATTTAACGTTGAAAATACTGAAATTTTGAGTTAGTCCCCTTTGGCTACTTTTTGATCCACTACTACTAGTGAATATGATTTAAATTAACAGTGTGTGCAGAACTGACAGGTAATACTGGCTGATGAATGTTGTTTGTATCAGCATATGTTGATATGCTATTCCTTGGCAATCAAAGAAGCTGATTACCATTATTTTTCCAGCTGGTAGAGCAAGTCTTGCCCTCTTTGAAATTCCACACTGTGATGGGCTGTTTTTCATCAGAATTGAAGCATTGTATTCAGGTTTCATCATCTGTAAAAAATAATCTTTTGCAAGCCAAAACAAACTTTCAGCATTGTGTACTGATTGTCCTCCATATCAAACCAACCTCCATTTTATCATGGATGGTTAACATTTGGGCTGCACATTCTAGCAGCTAAACAAAGCATCATACTTTCATGTAATTTCTTGACAGATGCATCAATAATCATTATTTACAGTGATGTAGATCTGGAATTTGATTTTTTTTCATGTTGAAGTTGACTCAAATCAAATTGTGATTGTTAATGCTATATAGCATTAGTATAAGTTGAAAGGCATTTAAAAGTTTTTAAGTATTTGAATGTTAAAAACATAATTATTTATGAGCAGAAATTTCAAATTTTTTGCTAGTGAAATATTTGATAACATAGACTACTTAAGTAGATGTAAATTGACATGATGTTCCTGATCAACATCAGTAAAAACTGACCAAAAATCTTTGATATAGTAACTGAAAAACTGATGAACTATTCTATCTTCAAAGTGACTGTTGCATTTGGACTTTCCTATGCAACCTGTCAAGAATTTATAACAACTTCATGACATCTGGAAAAGAATGATTGCACACAATACATGTGGATGAAAATTTCACATTAATTTGAGGCATTTGTTGACTCTCATAGATTTTAATCAACAATCTTCAGGCCACAGTACTCAGATCACAGTCAATTTTAATGCTTGTGCATCTGTGGCCTTCATTCACCTCACTGTGTAAAAGGTCTGCAGCCATGCTGAGATTTGGCAGTTGTCCCACTCACGTGCCTCTGCTAACAACTCATCACCATGCTGCAAGTCTATCCTAGGCTAAAGAGCATTGCCACTGGACAACTGAAAATTGACATAGGGTTTCCCGGTCAGGTGATGCCAGATTTTATCTATCTTATGCAGTTGAGTGGATGCACATCTGAAGAAAACCTCATGAAGTTACAAACCCGTTAGGTCAGGTTTGAATATGTGCAAATTGGTAGGAGTGGTATTATGGCTATCTTTAGTTGGGTAGATACTGGTCCTCATGCATCTTAGTATCATATTGACTAGAAACAGCTATCAGGACATCCTTGAAGTTGATGTGCACCCTTTTGTGATGGCTTTACACTAAGATAGCAATGGTTTTCATTCAATAGGACAAAACCTACACACAGAGTATGTAGGTATGGTCAGAGGAACATTCTACAGACTTCAACATCATTGTCTATCTTTCGTGTACCCTGACCTGAATGAACCTCGTTCAACATCTCTGTGATGCTATTGCAATAGCCATTTGAAAGAAAGCCTCTTTTCTTAATTTTAAGGAATTATAGTTTGCAGTTGAAGTAGTGTTGATTGCTTTATCTCCACAGCAATACCAATGTCTTGTAGACTCTTCCAGCCTGAGTTTATGCTGTTATCAAAACTAAAGTGAGCAATTTGCTATTAGACTGATGTTTCAATTTTTTCTGGCATATCCATATATATTCATAAATGTTATTTTAGTGTTTGGATAATTTGAATAATAAACTTAAATATGACTAACTTAAATTTTTGTAATTATTAAATACAATATGATATATTGAGCATTTTTCTATAAAGATTTTAACAAAAATTTTTATAATAAACTTTTAAAGAAATTTAAAATTTTTTTATTTCAAACAGGTTACAAGTAGTTGTTCTGATCAAATATGTCTTCATATGGATTCTGATAATGAATCATTATTTGAGTTAGAAGGTACATTTTTAATCATTTTATTATGACATTATTAATATATTAAATAACTAAGTTGAAATAAGAAGTATTAAATAAAATATTTGCTTTAGATATTGATATGTGAAATTTTGAGAAAATATTTATACTTTATTATTAATTATCCCTCCCGTTTTATATATATATACAGTATATATGTGTGTGTTTGATTGTAGTTTTAGCTTTTGTAATCAGAATGTATCCTAAATACAAAAATGTTTGTTATGCCTGATTTAGATGACAATAAAAGTTATATTCTGATTACAAAAGCAAAAAACTGAATGTAGAAGAATTTAATTTGTAAATACTTACACTCACTATTTCTTTAAAGAAAATGTTAGCCCAAAAATGTTTTAAAGATTATCTGAATGAATAAATAATTCACAAATACCAAAAATCAGCAAAAATAAAATAATTTTAATGAAAGCAAACGTTTATGAGATTATTTATTTGCTTATCAAATCTGTATTTCTAGAAGTCACTTGGTTGTGTGAATGTATAGCAATTAACTTTTTGTTTAATTCTTTCAGAATTGAAATGTGCAGACTTATATTGTCTCATTTAGTCAAAAAAGTCTGCAATTTGTACACAATATTTCTATTCTTGCTGTGCATTTCCTTGCTCTTTGTGAAATTTTTGGACTAATATTTGACTTTGTAGAAATAATGAATGATGTGTTCTAAATATGTCAAAGATTATATATTAGCTACATAAAAACTTTTTGCAAGACAGATCTGAACTTATTTGTTCATGAATGATCTAGATCAGGGGTGGCCAACCTTTTGCATACCATGCGCCAATTTTTTGATAGACGAGTTCAGATGCGCAGTGGCGTACCGTGGGTGTTAGCCGCCCGGGGCGGAGAAAAATTTCGGCCACCCTTTAATCAGGTATTTCAATTTAAAAGATCAAAATTCAGTTGTGTGAAAAAAAAATTAATAAAAAATGCGGTGGTGGTGTAGTTACCCGTACAAAATAGTCCCATTTGACATTAGTGGCATACACGATTGCGAATGTATCGTGAATCGTAGAAGCAAAAAAAAAAAAAGGGGTCAACAGGTGCAGCAGTCCAACCGACTCGTGGACTGTCCGGACGGTAGCACTGTCATTTAGACGCCTATGCACTGATCGAAAATAAACATACATGCATACACTGTAATTTACTATGTGGAGAACACTCATTTTATCTGTAAAGTTGATTGCAACGAATTGTGCAACAAATGAACTTGCCAAGACAGACTATAAAAAATTAATTTTCTATGTAATATTCTTAATTGCAAAGAAGCCAAATCTGGCAATGTTGCTCAGAACTGACTAAAGCGCCACTTGTAATCGTCCAATGCGCCACGGTTTGGCCACCCCTGATCTAGATAATATTAATTAAAAATTATTAATGGAAATATTTTGTTCTCCCAAACTATGAAAATTAAAACATATTGTTATTAATTAATAGTACAAGAGTAATTAAAAATTCCTTTACAGTTTTTAGTGTGAGTTTGCTTCCTTTATTTGTGTTGTTTGTTACTTTTCATTTTTTTGTAATTACAAAGTACTGTACATTAATTTTTTATTATTTTTAACAGAATTAATCCCTAATTTTTCTCTCATGGTGCATTGCTTTTTATCATTAGAAACTGCAATACAAATTGTTTTGGATATTTGAAAATATCATCTATTTTATATTTATAAGTAGGAAATCTAGAAATATTGACCTAACATTTATACTTCAGAGCTTAATGTTAATATTAAAAAAATATTTCTGAATTAATTTATTATTTACAAATATTGATATTTATTGAAACTTTCAAAGTTAAAAATATTTTATTTTGGTAATAATTATTATTTTCTTTTAAAGGCCCACTTTTAATGGATTATCACGTTGCTTTTAATCTCACAACTCCTAATCCAGGTGCCTCTTATCTGAATGTCCATTATATTTGTGAGAGTGCCTCTCGTTTGCTCTTTTTATCGTCACATTGGGCAAGATCCATACCTGCCTTTCAGCTTTTAGCGTAAGAATGTTTCCACATTGTGATCTCTCTAATACAATTTTAAACATTTGATTAATTATTGTTTGAAATAATTATTTTAGACCCGAAGTACAGACAGTTCTAGTAAGAGGAAGTTGGAGTGAACTATTTACGCTTGGTCTTGCACAGTGTTCTCAAGTGATGTCATTAGCCACAATTTTAACAGCAATTGTTAGTCATTTACAAACAAGTGTTCAGCAAGGTATTGAAATTTTATTAAAGCAATTTATATAAGCTTTTATATAAAATAAGATTTTTTGAATTATTGGTGAATGTATTTGATGAAAGTTTCATATTTTATGGTTGGTTTGTTTATTATTTAAGAATTGTTGCTAATTCATAATTACAGGATGTTAATGAGCAGATTTATAATTAAATTCAAACAACACAAGACACTAATCAATGCTCTACAAAACAACTTGTTTTTTTATTGGATAAAATGTTTTCAAGATGATTTACATCTTACCATCGGATTTAACACTATCAGATTCACAGAAAGGTTTGAAGAACTTTTGTGAATCTGATAAGCTGATTTAAACTGTTCTTTGAATTTTTTTGTCACTCTTATGATGAGACTTATATAATGTTGAAAAATATTATCAAAATAGAAAAGGACAACTCCTGGAATTCATTTCATAAAGATTTTTCAGCATTATACATATGAAGACTTCTCTATTTTAATAAATAACATTATTAATTTAGTTTTTAACTAATTGATTTTCAAACTAAAAATTATCATCAAGTTACTATATTAATATGCCTTTTTGAAACACATTTTCAGACAGATTGTCTGCAGTTCGTGTAAAACAAGTTACAGATCATATATGTAAACTTCAAGAGTTCGTTAATTCAATGCTACGGTTGCAGGTTGATGAACATGAGTATGCATATCTGAAAGCAATCGTACTTTTTAGTCCAGGTATGCTTGTGAAAAACATACACATATTTAAGATATATCATAATTTTGTTTAATATTTTATTTTGCAATATTAATTCTGCTCATTTTATATCTCTTAAACCTTTGAAATTTTCTTCAGATCATCCTTCTCTACCAAGTGCACGTCAAGTAGAAAAATTTCAAGAGAAGGCATATCAAGAATTACGTTCTTATATTGGTCAAACATTTCCTGAAAATAATGATAGGTTTCCTAAATTATTATTGAGGTAACTTTCAAATTTTAAGATATGTCTTTATAAATAAGTTCTTAATTTAAAAATTGTTTAAATAATTATTTGAAAATATATTTTTTTTGTGCCAATATTAAAGAGTTTTGAAGGTATATACCAGTATTTCTCAGACTGTGGGTCATGAAATGATACTACCTTTTGCAGAAATACTTGTAAAACTGAAATATTCTCTAAGAACTAGGAACAGTAGATGCATCTGTTAAGTACTGAAAATTTTTAAAAACTTCTTTCTTAAAATTATTGTTGTCATTTAGTAATAAAATTAACATTATAGAATCTGTGTATACAAAATTGATATATCTTTTTTATTTTGAATAACATCAAAATAGAAAATTATTATATGTAAGGTCATAGTTCATAAAGTCATTTAAGTTGCAATGGTTTTGGAACTATTTCCTTGTTTATTCAAACTTCTAGGTTTATTGTCATACATAACAATAAATTATAAAAATAAACAATGGATCAATTTTGACAAATGTGGATCAATAAATAATTTTTTTGTGTGTATATAAAAAATGAAATTGAAAAAATCTTACAATCTGGAAACTATTGGGTTGTTCAGAAAGTAATTTTGTGTTTTTTACCACTAGACAGATTATCGTATTTTTTCTGCCATTTTCATTATAAACTGTATTATCATTACATATTTTGACAGCTATCATTTTAAGGCTTATTTGTAAAAAATTTTGTTTGATTTTGTGCAATTGTTTATTTTTTGTGTCCCATCAAATATGGAAGATCAAAAGCAGCATTTTCAGCATATTTTGCTCTTTTATTACTGAAAAGGTAAGAATGCTGTTCAAGTGAGAAAAAAATTTTGTGACGTGTTTGGAGAAGATGTATTGACAGAACGACAGTGCCAAAACTGGTTTACAAAATTTTGTTCTGCAATTTCAATATTGAAGATGCACTAGATTCTGGATGACCAGATGAAGCCAAAGAAAACAAAATAAAGGTACTGATTGAAGCAAACTGCCGAATAACAACACATGAAATCACTATTAAATTTGTCAAATTGAACTGTTTATGATTACTTGAAACAAATTGGTTTCATTTCAAAGCTCAATATATGGGTTCCACATGTCCTTAAAGAGAGATGCTCTCTTTGGTGGGATTTAAAGGAAATTTTTTTTTTTTTTGGAGCTTTTACCAGACAATTTAACAATTGATTTGAAAGTGTACTGCCATCGAGCAAACAAATTGAATAATATCATCAAACAGAAAAGGCGACCAGAATTGATCAACAAAACAGGTGTAGTGTTTTACCATGATAATGTCAAATTTCAGACAAGTTTGGTAACTCGTCAGAAACTGTTATAACTTAGATGGGATGTGCTATCACTCCGACCATATTTGCCTGATTGAGCACACTCGGATTATTACTTGTTCCGGTCTATACAAATTTTTCTTAACTGTAAGACATTTACTTGAAATGACAATGTCAAAAATCACTTGGATCAGTTTTTTGTAAGCAATGATCAAAACTTTTATGAATGTGAAATCATGCTACTACCAGAAACGATGATAACAGGTATTTGACCAAAATGGTTGATATATAATTAAATAAAATATTTATTTATTATAAAAATATTGTGAGATTAGCAGTGGGTCAGGGCTTAATCTCTGCCTGATCACTTAATCTGCACAGGCTGGTAAAGCCCAATCTCGGAGTCTTTGGATGGCTAGGAGGGCAAAAAAGTGAGTGGGGAGTGCGTCGGTAAGTCAGCAGGTGCTGTTTAAAGATAGGAGACTGGTTTAAAAACTAAACAAGCATTTATTATATAACTAGTTAATAAATACAAAAGGTTACAAGGTTGGATACATTTAAGAATAAATGCGGATTACATAAGTACGCTTATGGCAATTATACAATCTATCCTTTCTCTAAAGAGTTTACTCTAATGACTAGTCCTATATGCATAGAGAGAGAGAGTTTGCTGGTTCAAAATAATTACCTCAAAGTGCTATAGGTGGCAATAACAGTTCTTTATGCCTGAGTTGGGCTTGATCAATGTCTTCTACCGATGTGGAGACGTGGAATCACGTGGATTAAATATAACTTCTGTGTGCAAACTTTCCGAGCTTCCGGTGGTCTGCACCTTTTATATCATTGTCGTGTGAAAACTGACACGTGATTGACTTTTGTTGACAATGACGGTGCATTCTTCACACCTAAGTGTCAACTTTCCATCTAATTATATTACAATCGGTGACCTCTGATCTAGTTTCAATTTCTTTGGGTTTTTTCTGAAGATATTTGCACTTAACTTTTTTTTAAGAGCCGCATAAAAATCCGTAGGCTCACAATATTGTGTTTTTTTCCACGGAAAAAAATGAAATTACTTTCCGAACAACCCAATACATTTTAAAAAAAGGGTTCATTAAGTTTATAAAAGAAACTTGAAATATTTTTGAAAGTAAGATAGAGTCCTGAATAATTTTAAAATAGTCTGTTTTATATACAGTTGTCAGTCTTACATTTTTTGATAGTTCAACTTCAGTTTTTATTATTGAACTTTAAATTATTTGTTACAAATCAAAATTGGCCTACACTGCTCTTAATAGAAATGTACTTTATGTTACATTTTACATGTATAAGTTATTATTAATAATGCATAATTTTGTTTTGTTATATAATATATGGTGACTCTGATTTACCAAGTTTATTTTAAAATTTTATATTATAAACATTTGGGTTGTGGAACCATTACAAACAAATATATTGGGTCATGCGTGCAAAATGTTTGAGAAATGCTGGTATATACAGTAGAGCATCGATTATCCAAATTAATTGGGGACTAGGGTTGTTCGGATAACTTATTTTTCGGATAACCGATTATGTACGAAAAATATATTAACTTATCCTGTGTTGAAATTTTTCTCCGTTGTGTGCTGCTTCTCGTTGAATTTTCGTCGATGTTAAGCCTAACGAAGACTATTGTATCGTTAAAAATTATTTTTTTATTTTGTACAAACAAAATAAATATATTGAAAAATATAAAAACAATAAAAAATTATACTTCAGAAGTTAATTTAGTATCAAAAACGTAAAATATTTGAGTAGCC